GGAGATTCCTACCCGTTACCCAACATATCGGAAATTCTCTCACAACTAGGTGGACNCCGAGGACTCTCTACTGTTTCAGCCTGACATGAACGAACCATTTATCGTTCATGTTTCCAGTACTCAAAAGGGCATTGGAGCCATCCTCAGCCAAAAAGATGATGAAGGAGATGAACACCCGATCCTGTACGCATCGAGGGCACTGTGAGATGCTGAAACAAGATATACTTCAGTTGAATTGGACTGCCTAGCAGCTGTCTACGCCTTAAACCAGTTCAAACCCTACATCTATGGAGCACCCTTCACCATTATTACAAACAGCCCAGCCCTGAATTGGCTCAGAGTTTCTAGCAACCCTACTACGCGGCAAGTTAAGTGGAAAACCTACTTGAATGATTTCACGTTTGAGGTAGAAATCAAGAAACAGAAGAGAATTCAGCTAGCAGACGCCTTTGCAGAAAATCCTCTTCAGGACGATTTCTTCATGTTCGCAACCTGCATGCCTGCTCTACCAATACCAAAGTCTGGTGTGAAAACACCGAGGACAGTCACAAAACCTAACCAAAAGGTTAGAATAAATAGTGACGCACAAATTATCCCCATCCCATCGGCGGGAAGCTTAATTGCCGACAGGCTTCGGGCTAGAAGAGCAACAGAAACAAATAGTGGTACCCGGCAGCCGATCTCCTACAGACTGAATCGTGATTATAAAACAACACCCAAAATCGGCAAAACCTCCACATCATCTACCCGAGGCACCACAATCGAGAACAGACCAGAAACAGTGGAAGAAACGACCCCCACCCTATTCACCCCTCTAATCGTGGAGATGCCAGAATCAACTCCAACAGTAACTGAATCCGAGGAACCACCACTACAGGATGAACCATCGGTAGTACCTGTCGAAATGGAAGACCAAGGAAAAGAAGATCAACTAGAAGTTTCCCTTGAAGGAATCCCAACGGACGAAAAATTGGAGGATGACACATTCATCACAGATCAAAACTCCACCGACGAGGAAACGCCTTCTATCATTGAAGCGGAAACTCGAATAGAGGAAAAGGATGAAGAACCAAATCCTACACCATGTCCACCATTGAACATGGAACGAATGGAACGAAACCTGGAAAAATTCTACGAGTATATGGAGAAAATCTCGGAAAGAGACAAGGAAATATTCCAGGAA